GGGGGGGGGGGGGGGGGGGTAGAGATGAGCTGGGGGAAACTGGGAGAACAAGAGGATGTGAACGGGGTAGAATGCTTTTTGCAGGATGAAAAAAGTATCAGAATGCATAATCATAAGAGCGAGACAGTTCATGGTTGAATGTATACACGGAATCAGCTTACACCGTCAGCTGAGATTCTAAACGGGTGNTGACAAAAGGTATATGGCAGAGTGTTGAAATTAACTCTGGCTTTTTAGCAAAAGGCAGAAGGTTTCCAGCAACTTTTGCAACTGTTAATTGAGTTTAACAAAGCACGGTTTGATTTTTATAAAATTTGGGCATGCACATCATTCGATTCTGTATAGCCACAAGTGTGGTAGAAAAACTGAAACTTTAATAACCGGAATTCATACATTCACTACGATACTGGTTTAATTTTGAGACAATGAAAATGAAAGACAAATTTGACCTAATTGTTTATTTTGGTTTACCTCAAATCTCCATAATCTACACTGTCCCCGTTGTTAGAACCGGGAGAAGANNNNGACAAATACTGCGAGATATTAACATTTCTTATAATCTCGTCCTTCTCAGTCGCTACAACGGACTGCAATCTGGTATTTGTACAAGTAAGTTTTGATAACCACAGTGTTTCAACGGACAATAGTCTGGGTAGCAGGAGGAGAGGGTGGGGTGGGAAATCAGCTCCACAGCAGTCTGACCGATTGTTTAATAAACTGTTGTGCGCACAAGTTTGGGTTACGTAACTTGATTAGAATCGCCTCACTAAACCCTAAATCCTGGGGTTCATGTTACGTAATAACGACTTGAATGACAATTGTGGGTCAACGATCAGATGGTACCTTGCAAAGATCCGTCTACCAGAAGACTACATGGAGTGGACAATACCTACAGTTTGCTAGTTTCTCTCCTGTGGCACACAAAAGAGGTCTGGTGAAGACTCTGTTCCGTCGTACCAGGAATATTTCCTCCCCTGACACTCTTCAAGAAGAAGAAGAGGGCTTTCTGTGAAGGACGCTACTGGATAAGGGTTGTCCACAGAAATTTATTAATGTGCATAGCCAACAAAAGACACCGGTTGATCCCGTCTGCAAAGTACCGAAGAACAGCTTCTTCCTCATACTCGCCTTCAGAGGTGATCATTAATGAACAACGTGTGTCAAAAGCTCAAGATGGCATTGTGTCGAACGTTTCCAGTCACACAACTTCCATTGATAGCGTATACCCAAGGAATTCATTTGGACAATAGAGAACAGAACCAGCCGTACAACACTACCTCACATGTCGTCTACCAGTTCGCCTGCAATTGCGGTGACACTTACATTGGCAGAACGAATCGGCCCCTGTCACAGCGGATGTCTGAACACATTTCCAAGTGGTTGGTACATGTGATATATCAGAACATGTCAATTAGGGGTGGTTTGGTACATGTCCCCTAATTTCATCCAACTGTTCTTGGTTTTCTTTTGTTGTGGCTAATCCAAACATTTCTATACGGAGCTAATTCATCCAACCAACCCTAGAAATTTCATAACTTCATGCTCAGCCGTCGCACCGCGCAGTTTTCATTGTTTTCTAAACTCGGTTTATTCAAAGACCAGTCGAAAATTTATTCAGGTTTCAAAACGTGAAACTTACAAGAATGATGTGTTTGTCATTTTGCACACTGTTTTGACTGACATGAAAGTGTGACACTTGGGGTTTAAATAATTTAGGCTTCTTTACCTCTCTATACGATAATTTTACAATCACTTGAAAGATTATTTAAATGAGAAAAGTCTTGAACAACTTTTTTCCCCACAAATCTGATTATCAATCGTAAAATCGACTACTCACGCTGGATAACAGTAGCTCTTTGAGACGTTGTAACGGAACCGATTGACGTTCATGGAATGCTTGTATACGCTGACGAAACGTCCTCAGATTCTCTGTCCTGTTCCCTGCGGAGCTGAATATACTGTGACTAGAGTTATCCGTGAACAATTGTTCAAGTCTATTCCAAGTTTCGGATAAATCTGCATTGTAGTTTATCACTGTGGTCCCGTCCGATTGT